AGTGAACTTGCTGTGCAGAGTCCTTCTCCAGGAGCACTCACCTTGGAGAGCTCCTCCCTCCCCTGTCCTTAACTCTTCTTGTTCCAACCAAGAGATGAGGCTGGGTTTCAGGAGCTCACATCCTATAGGTGGAGAAAGACACATTCACAGAGTAGAAGAAATGATGGGCCTTCCCCAGTTTCAGGAGATAATAGTTCTAATAAAAGTAATGAAATAATTTAGAAAACATACAAATATCCTCTCTGACTCGCCCAAAAAATATTGGTGTCTCTGACCACTGAAACCCAAATCCAGGCTTACGTTCACATTTACATAATACTAAGACTTTTACCTAAATAAAAAATAAACTACATGAAACAGAAATCTTCGTTTTCATGGGAGAAATGACTACACGTGTGAATTTCTTTGTATGTGTGAGTGTGGAGAGTGCTAGTTATGAAACCCAAGGTCTTGCCCCACTAGGAAAGTGCTCTTCCTGTGAGCCATACCCCCAGCCTGTACAGCTGTGATTATGAAACTTTACAGTGTATCAGATCCTCCTGGAGAGCTTATATAACACAGATGCCATGGCCCAATTAGTATGCCAAAGAAAGACTGAGAATGTACATGTCAAATGGTAAAAGTGATGCAATGTTCTTCATTTCAGACATGTTGAGAACCGTGAGTGTAGAATAAAGCCTCTCATGGCAGGAGCTATATTTCTGTTATTCCTCACCACATCCACAGCTGATATCACTGATCCTGCAACACATACTGAGTACTTAACAGCACTCAGCACAATCTGCTCCTACAAGCCCACATGGCAGTCTTACCCACAGAGGCCAGGTTCTGGAAGTTCTCCAGCATCACATCACTGTACAGCTTTCTCTGAGTTGGGTCCAGTGAAGTCCACTCCTCCAGGGTGAAGTCCACAGCCACATCCTCAAAGATCACTGACTCCTGTATCATCACACACAGGCTGGTTTGAGCCAATTAACACGTCCACTCATGTTCACGGGAGAATAAGAAAGTAACACCAATGGTTGTCTAGAGTTCTGACGTGCCCCACTGTCTACTCCAGGGTTCAGTGGTCCGAGGGACACATCCCTCTGTCCACACACATTCACAGTGGATCTCCTCTGGTCACATGGCATTAACGGCTCTTCTTACACATGATCTTATCACAGTACCACCAGACCAGATGTTCATGCTACTTCCCCCTGTGACAGCACACACTGCAGCACACTGCAGATGCCTGCTAAATGTGAGGAATGAATAAATTCTTAAGCCAAAAGACTCCGTCATATCCCGCCCCTGCTGCCAGAATGCTCAGTAACATCAGAACATGCAGTCAGCACCATGAGAAGATTGGTTAGTAAATGTGAAATATGGCAAAGGCATTTAATGTAATCCCTCACCATGCCTGCCCAGCAAGCGCAAGGTCATGAGTTCGATTCCCAGTACCAGGGGGAAAAAAAAAATCCCTCACCAGTGTAAGTCATTCCCCTCCCTGGGGAAATTCAACAAACAATCCAGTCTTTCAGTGAAACTTTAGAAAGGTCTGGGAAGCCGGGTGTGGTGGGGCACACCTGCAATCCTATCTACCCAGGTGGCAAAAGTAAGAGGAAAGACTGAATCCATGAGTTTAAGACCAGCCTGCGTAAAACAGCAAGACCCCGTTTCTTTAAAATATAAGCAGAAGGGCTGGGGATGTAGCTCAGTGGCACAGTGCCTGCCTAGCAAGCACAAGGTTGGTCCTAAGTTCGATTCCCAGTACCAAAAGCAAACAAACAAATAAATAAATAAAATATAAGCAGAAGCTTATATTTTATAAGGTGGCATACACCTGTAATCCTAGCACTCAGAAGGCTGAGGCAGGAAGACTGCCACAAGTTTGAGGCCAGCCTGGGCTATGTAGTTAGTTCAGGAACATCCTGAACTATACAGCAAGACCTTGTCTCAAGAAAAAAAAAGCTAATAAAATATAGGCAGGTAGGTACCTGGGGGACAGAGAGAGGAAGATGCTGGGTGTAGTGGCACATGTCTATAATCTCAGCTCTTGGCAGCTGAAACAGGAAGATCGCAGTGAGTTCAATGCCACCCTCGGCTGCACAGTGACTTCAATGTCAGTGTGAACTATGTACCAAAACCCTCTCTCAAAGAAAATAGTAATAGATACATGATAGCAAGACCTTATTATTTAATAAACAAATAGATA